AAAGGAGACAACTGCAGTGTTTGCAGAGAAGGCAATGGAGATGGGGACGTGACAAGCGAACTCCTAAAAAGACGCCTTGACCAAGCCTTGTCACGAAACTTCCCAGCAGCAAGAGTTCGTGTAGTACTCTCAACCAACCCGGTCTTACATGAGGAAGGTAAAGATAGGTTACCAGCTCGGACCACCTCTATGTGCGTCTACTTGCTCCTGTGGAGCAGGTTATATTGGTCGCACGAGTCGAACCTTATCCCAACGAATACAGGAACACCTCCCGGCATGTCGGCGAAAAGGTGAATTCAGGAGCATAAACAGCGCTATTCTGGCGCATTTGGTTGATTCCAGACATTGGGTGGACCCTAGCGAAGCCTTCCGGGTGATCTATAAGGTCCCATCATACAATCCAAATTTTCTGGGTCAGCACCTGCTAGCAACAGCTAAGACGACCGCTATCAGGCTGATAAAGCCGGCATTAGGTGCGCAAAAGAACCTCCTACAAACTCCGCGTCTGGCGTGGCTAACATTCACTTAGCGGCATGCACTCGTCCGCGCTCTGTTTGTCTGTCTCTCCTACCCCCCCCCCTTAGACTAGTTGCACCAAATCCTGTCCTCTTAATAAGCCTTCTCTTGTCGACCCCTCGCGAAAAGACGAACAAGTTTTTCTTCTTACCCCGTTCCCGTATAAGTGTACTGACCCGACGAGAAGCCTATGTACACTCGCTAACTACTCTTCTGAATTCTTCGTAGTCGTCAGCTAGGCATATTCAAGCAGCAGGTTGGAATACAATCGATTTGGATCTCAGCCCAGGGTCACACTCCGTCGGCTGCAATCGGGCACGTTAAATTTCACATAGTTACTGTGATCTACTAGTGACTGGAGGTTCCCAATCCGATCCGGAGTCTTAACATGTGGCAACCCAGAACTTTATAGTCAGAAATCGAGAAACTATGCAGAAAACACTGACCTGAAGGACTAGGATAAACGCTTTCGGCTCACCGGCCGTGATCAGTTACACCTAGCCCACTCGGAGACCTAAGAGGTCGAGGAGGGGTGTACAAAGCGCATGCCAGCCTATTTTCCCTCAAATACACTGAATTAAACCGAATATTTTGTCCGATAAAGACCCAATTAAACTTCAAAGAACTGATTGAACGAAGTTACGCCTCGGTTAGTCCTTCAAGCCCGATGGGTTGTAACACAACACAGACTCCATTTGCGAGGATTGGTGAACAAATGAGCTACAGGAGGAGGTGCAGGTCGCAGTATCTATTTTCAAGACAGAGTAATCAGGGAGGGGAGGGGAGGACGGAAGAGAAAGCGCCGCGGGAGTCAAATTTGAGGCTGTCAGGGGGAGGATAGCGTTGACAGCCTCTACGTGTGATACGCGGGGGGAGTGAATAAGGGGTCACGGAGATCCAGCTGCCGACACGGGGTGAGTTTTCGGCCAGGAGAGAAGGAGAGCCATTTGGATAATGCCCTCTGGGCAGTCGACGATGCCTCCTCCGCTCGCGCACAGTCAAAAGTTTGCGTTGATGTTGCATCTCCTTCTAGCACGCTGTCACTACAGCAAAACGAGCGTCACTCAGGAGGAGGAAGAGAAAGATCTGAGGCTGGGTAGACCACTCTGACGGCCATATTAGGAAGAAACCACTGCGGTCTGCCCCTCTGTCCTGGGTCGAGCGCTCGTCAAGGACGTGAGGAAAAGGCGCAGGGTGAACCTTACTCCCCTTTCCCTCTCTCACTGGTTTTGCAGAGTCAGGTCTGGCCGTTTACGCGTGCAGTTCCACCCTCCTTCTAAGGGAAGACCGGCAGCTCACCGCCTTTAAAGTCACGAGTCCTTGAATCTATACTATAAATAATAATAAATTGTATGAATATATGTGCTGCGCCGATCTATTAGAGGAACAATTAAGTTCCACTTTGCCCAAAAACTCACAATTAGAGGCCGGGCAGGCGGTCACATAGTGACTATGATGATATGATGGAATGGAGTAGAATATTAAACTCAATGACCAAAGGTCCCGGGTTCGAATCGCGGGGGTTTCAACCCTTGAGATTGCGTATGGCTGGCTGATGACGGCTAGCAATCCAGAAATGGTCATTCCGGTCTTCCTTTACCTTGTCGGATCCATTCCACCAATAAATTTTATATTTAAGACCCAAGAGGCCCTTTCATTACAAACTTAGTACTGTAGTAAAAATAAATACAAAGATGCTATTTCATATTAAGTCAGCTCCGATTTGCAACGGACTTTTTTTAAACAGTATGAAGTTAATATGGGGAACTGCGAAAAAGGAAATGAGAAAGTACTCCTGTCATTCAAATCAGTGGCTGAGTTCAGCGAACCACCGATTTCCAAAAAAAATATAGGAGAAGGAAAGTGATTAAATCGGTAGTTAGATTTATACGGTAGGGTATGATGCAGTGAGATGGGATCGTGATGTTTAGGGTTCCCAACGCTATTTTTCGTGGAAAACATCATATAGCATCATGGGGGTGAGACAAAGGGAGCTCATCGCGGATAACGGGGTCAAAACGAGGAAGTCACCAGAACAGCGCTGAGATGCGACCGAGCAGACAGCAGAGTCCACCGAAAAGTTGGCGAAGACGTAAGAACCCGCGACGATCATCAACAGCGACCTCGAAGACCACCGTCAGGGCTCCAAAACGGAGAAGAGTTGGCATCACTTGGAAATGATGCTTGATTTTGCAGATGAAAATGTAAACATGTTTAGAAACTATTTTACTATCGTGAGAAGAGCCTCAAATGCCACGAAGATCCTTGTCGAAGTCCAGAAGTTGTGTTTAAGAAGGGAACAGACAGTAAGGACTTTATTACCTCCAAATTTGAATGTTGACGTATTTTGCCTTTGAAAATTGGTAGTGCAGACGAAAACCTAATTTCGAGTGGAAGATCATTCCAGTGACAAATGTACCGATTTGCCGGGAGGATGAACTCTCACGGGGGATCGATCGCGCAATCTCGCCCATGCGCCAGTGAACAGCCGGCGGCGGATAAGCAGGCAATTACTGATAAGCTTGAGTGCAGACGTGGCACAAGCCTCGTCGAGTGTCGAGCGCACACACACACAATAGTTCGCCCGTCATCAGCGCCATTGGCACAAACATCACACGTAGGACTG